CAGCCCTGCCAGGGCATCGGTGTGAGGGGGGTAAATGGATGTCCGGGATCCTCCGACCCAATAGTCTTGCACCGGGAAAGGGTTGATGTAACACCATTTGGAGGAGGGATGCCCCTTCCTCTGCTGGGCTGATGGAGCTGCCTTGCATATCTTCACACGCGTGGTTCAAGTACAGCAGGCGTGAGCATCATCTTGCTGACTGCAACTCGTGCTGCATTTTTAGTAGATATCAAAAAAACCCATTTCCCATCTTTAGGGATGCAGAGATTTTGAACCTGCTGGAGTAATAAAGGTTAAGTATAAAGAATGCAATAAATCTATTTTTTCTGTGCCAGCAACCTTAGTTATTAAAAAGCACAGAAAATGGAAGAATATAGTCTATTAAAAAACAAACAAAACCAAAAGAATATGCTCAGTTGTTAACAGAATTGTAATCAATGCCCACGGTCCACAAGGGTGCATTTGTAAATGACAGCATTTAGGAAGTAGCAACGACATTGCTTTAAATATCTTTGTTTTCAGCTATGGAATGTCTAAAAAGAGAGAATTGCTGATGTCTCACCTTGAGAAAATGGGTCATTAGTGACTTCTCTTTTTCCTTTCAATTGCCTCACAGCTTTGAAAAATTAATGCTTTCTGCAAAGGCCTAGACTTAACGTCGAACTTACTTTCTGCTTAGGCAATTCTAATCAAAACGTGGTAATTATTCAAAGAAATCTTGTCCTTGAAAAGCCACTGGGATGTGACTCCAGAGGAATATCACATCCACAGACCTTTCCAAAGTCACTAGTGACTTTGTGTGTCTGATTTTAGGGGGTTTCAACATCGGGAATGAAAGTGAGTAGGACTTTCTGTGACTGTAGTCAGTGGGACACTAAGTAGGTTTCTGTTTCGTTACAGACTTCGCCTGTTTTTTGTGCGTGTGTGGGTTTTTTGTTTGTTTAGTTTGAGTGGTTTTTTTTTTAAACCAAGCAGTAAGCTGTGTTCCCTCTGGAAGAGTTGTCCCTGGTTTCTGTCTGCAAGGTGTACCCCACGCTCTCGCTCCATGACAATTTCTTTTAAAAGATAAGTTTTACATTGTTTCTTGATGACTGTGTTTATTTAGTACTTTACCGTGTGGAGAGGAGGGCTGATGTCAGTTGAGATATTTCTTTGTATCTCCAGCAAGATGAGCATAGACTTTAAGCAGTCAGTTTAAACAGGAGGAGAGGCAACAAAGAACAACTTCCTTTAGTGCCCTGATCTTTCTTTTGAGTTGCAAACTCTACCTTTCACCCTGCCCTTCAAAGGAGGAGATAATGGTTTCCTGGCATTGAGGGTCAGAAAGCATTTAGTTCCTCATTCTTGCATCGGGCTTATTCCTGGATCGAGCTACCGCTCTGGCACATTGCTCATAAATCCTGGCTTTTTAAGAGAGTTTCACATCTCAAGAGGGCTTTGTCACAAACTGCGCGTTGACTTGCCACTGGGCTGAGTGAGCGAGCTGGGATGTCTCTTCTCCCTTCTTGGAAAACCTGGCACAATTATGCTTTAATTCTACGGGCAGTGTTAGGGATTTTTTCTGTATGTTCTTCCTTGGTTTGTCTAGCTGAGGAGTTTTTAGTTTGCTTATGCTTTTGCACTTTTTTTTTTGCCTTGTTTGTTCTGAGGTAATTTGCAGAAGTGCAAGCAAAGCACCAGGCTTTTAGTAGGTTTCTTTTTATTAGTATCCTTTAATGGTAATATGTTTCAGTATTTAATATTGCTTATCAGGTGCTGTTGAGGCAGGGGTGCAAGGCACTTTGGGCAACCCTATTAAGTGCAGTTCGCAGTGCAAGCAGTTCATGTCCTATAATCTTTTGGACATTTTAAAGATAATAAATGATACTCCTTTGGGGCGTCTTAATAATTTACTTTCAAGTACTTGAGAACATTCTGCTTCCCAGAATACTGCATTTGGAAGCAAATGTAAGCATTTTAGGAAAAGTATAAAAGTCGGCGTTAACTAGGATTCAGGCTTTCTACAATTTCTGCTGCTAGTGAATGCATTGTGGCAAGGAGTTACTCCTGGAAGGGGTTTCACACACACCCCCCCCCCCCTTTTGGTTTACTGAATTTTCCCCTGCTGTGCTCTGTTTTCAAAGATGGACCATGAGTAGTAAGGTTAATTTAGTTGAGTTTTTTTCCTTCTGAAGTAAGTACATAGCATTACTGCTGTAAGAAACTGCAAAAAGCAAAGCACTGATTCACTGGAACTACAGTTGTCATAATTTGCATTGGTAACATGGTTATTTAGCCTTGGTATGCCAATTTTCCAATAGTGACCCTTACTGGAAAAGAAAATTAGATGACTCACATCCACAGTTCAACTAATTGTGAAGTATTTGAGTGTTTAAGGAGGTGGGGCAATTCAGAACATCTGTATCAGAGTTACAGAAGAAAATACTGTAGTTTGGGCAACTGATGTTAGTCTTCCTAAACAGAAACAAATCTTCAAATTGTCTTTGTACACAGTTAAATGGACTCTGTTTCTGAATTAATTTCTGCCTTGAAGTTACAGCAGGCTGTGTAACAGATGCAGTAATGCTTGAGAAAAGGCTGTTCATCCTTACGGGATGAGAAGAGGGAGGCACAGTGAGAGTCTTCCTGGGAAGCCTTGGCCAGCAGAGACAGGAGAGCCTTGTTAGACTGGGGATGTGCTCATTCGTGTTTTGTGTTGTCTTGTGACTTGGTTCTCCTTTTGTGAAATGGAGAAAATCCGTGTCGTTCTGTCTGCCTTTGATTGAAATGCAGCATCTACAACAGCCTGATGCATGCATAAGTTGGCAAAACCAGTACATTTTTAACTGTGGAAGATGTGATTACCTTAATTTGCCGTCTCTCAATTTCGAGGGCTTTAAGCATATGCTTTCTCCACAGACAAGAAGAAATGAGATATAGTTGAATATCACAGTATTTTCTACCTTCTTCTCCCATAACTGTAACCATGTAACCACTCCCCATAACTTTACCATGTATTTGGGTGCTCCAGCATCTGTAATAGGTTGCCAATGGTAAGAAAATAAATTAGGAATGTTATTAATTGGAAAAGAATTTCTAGAAATGTAAGTAGTCTATAGTTAATGAGCAGAGGATTTCTTTTCCAGTACTGGTCCTCAATGTTTCTGTAATAAATGAGTTAAACTGCATACAGAGCCCATTCTGTAAGGCTTGCATTCAGAGACAGGCTAATCTCACCAAGGAATGTAAGCTTCTTGACTAGAAACAATTGAGATTTGGATTTGAAGCTGTTTTAAAAAAATTGTTCTGTGCTTTTTACTAGCCTGAAAAGTAAATAGAAGCTTGCACAATTTGTAATTGTAGCTTGCATTATAGAGCATTTAGGTTTTCGTTTAGTGTATTCTCAGTGAAGAAGCTACTTAAAGCTAACAGTGCAGTTGTGAGTTACCATTAATAAGTCCTCAGATGACTGCTTCAGGCAGTGAGCTTAATGCTTGTGCAGGTTCATTCACTCTGAAACCAAGATGGAAAGAGAGATTGAAAAATGCTGTCTGGACTCAGAGGCAGATGTGCATGGTTGGGTCAGCATGCTCTTCTAACTACACAAGGCTGTTTCACGGCAAGAAACAAGACAACCTGGCCTAAACATGCAAAGGCACAGTAAGATTAATCCTTGGATTATGTTCAGGAGCTCATTTCTCTGTGGGTGTGTACTTCATTGGCTGTATGTACTTACTAGGGTAGAGTGTTCTCTCTTCTAATTCTGTGCTCTTTGCTGTGCTTTTACACAGTGAAAACAGTAAATTTTTAACATACAGGTTGAGTCTGGAGAGAGCTCTCCAAAGCTGCCCCTCAGAGAAGGGTCCTGTAGCCAAAGAAACAGAGAGTCCTTCCTTGAAAATGTGGTTAAAAGACCAGGATTTTTATTTAGTAGGATCTATGAAAGTTTGAGCATGTGGGTTCCCAAGCTTGCTCCAACTCTGCTGTTTCATATACTTCCATAAAATAGCCATAGCCTGAGGTGTAGCCAGATGTTTTTGTGACAGATCGTGTTGTAGATGTCTTATGACAGGAGGAGAATGTCCTTAAATTACCTAGCCTTTTAAAACTGCAGTTGTAGTGTCTTCTGTGAAATGAA